AAAGGTCCGATTGCACGTTTTGATCAATGCTTTCGAGTCTGTCGTCAAAATTTTCTGTCTTTTTGCTTCGGGAAGTAAAGTCCATTTACCTTGGAACTCTGATGCAAAAGAAGGTACCATGGTCTTTGATAAAAGGTCAACACCCACATCTTTTGGATTTTTACCACCATCTGCTTTATCATTTGTTTCTTCTGCTAACATTTTGTGAAACTCAAAAACAGTAAGGCCAAGTCTGGAACCAAACTGGCAACAGACACTACTGATTTGATCTTCTCCCAATTTACTGCTGCAGTGCCGTAACATGGCTGCTTTCAAAATAGATTCACAGGAACTAGGAAATGTAGAGAGATCTAATTCCCTTTTGGCTTTATCAGATAACAGCTTGACAATGCCTGGAATGGCTTCAGCTTCTGTGGCATCCTTCATGGGTTTTGTTGGCTTAATTCTCCAGTAGAAGTTATTAAAAGAATGCGCCAAAAATACATGAAGAGCTTCCTTAAAACAATGTGTCGCTGAGGTCTCAAAATCATGGTTACTGCCAAATGTGAAAATAGCAAACAGCAATTTAACCATGTTGTCGCGCACTTCTTCCGGACCAAGTTCAGCTTTACCCTCTCTATCAACGCATGTCCTTCCATAACGATCTCTTATAGCGTCAAGATTTATCTCGTATCCAGGACTTGAGCAAACATCACACTTACTTTCACGCAATAATCTGGCATCTGGTTTACTATATCCATGATATAAACCTGCATTTGACAGATCATTATGTGTTGTATTCAAAATAACCTCAATTGCTGGATTTTTTGTATCAAGAACATTTCCTTTTTTCCAGTCATCTTCAAGTCTACGCCAAGAATGAACCATAACAGCAGCTTTTTCTAGTTCTCCTTTCCAGATGTACCACAAAGCTTGTTGCTTGGCCATGCCACTGAATCGCTCGTAGTTGTCTGGGGTTGTCAATTTTTTTGCTGCAGTTTTCTTCCAGGTTTCACAATCTTGATATGCTTTGATCACCCAAGTTGCTTGCTCCCACATTTCTGGGATGACACGGCATTCCAGAATGCTGCCAAACCCTGAAGCAGCAGGCCAGTTTGGGGGATCGGGCGGAAATGGGCACTTGTGGAATTCAATCTCCACCTCGTCGATGGACCAATCTATTTCATTTGATACAGTGTCACGAGCTTTTGTAATGTCACGGCCCGAAAGACTTCTCAGCTTTGAACGAAAACAATCCTCGGGTGAGGAATAGTGGCAATACTGTGCAGCTCGCTTAAAATATTCAAAAGCACCCGCAGTTTCGGTATCGGGGAATCCAAACCCTTTCTTGATTGATTTAGTGTAAAGTGGTAGCAAGAAAAGGCCAGCAACATCTTCTACAGGCCCGAAAGCCACTCTTATTCGCTTCTCTTCAAGGGTAGAGACCTGTGATTGCATAAATCGGACAGCTTCACTATGTTCCAAGTCTTCTTGGCTAAATCCGTCTCGAAACTCGCCTCCGACATAACCCAATATGGAAGCGAAATGAAACAAAGGTTTGTCCTCGTTTTTGGAGCTTTTAAAAAGCGCGTAGATTGACACATTTCCTCTTACATCTATATTTGCCACACAGGCCAAGCCATGCTTACATTTCGACAGAGTATCCAGGGAGTATTCTATCGGTTTGTTCTTGGATTTGTCTCTTTTTTCCTTCTTCTTCGACGACGCCATTTTACCACTAAAAGCATCGCGTGTCGTCCCCAGGTCCTTAGTCCTTTGGAATGTTCTAGACATTGAACAGCCTGGGGCGGGTTGGGGTGGGGGGAGGGGTTAATTCCAATGAAGGTGGGGGTGGAGGAGGCGGCTTTGCTCTTAGAGCCTTTTTAGTTTACCATAATAGGCTGCTAATGCACAGCAAACAACAAAGACAGAAAGGAAATTGGGATCAAGACTCTGCGCCAAGCCTGTTCTAGTGTGACACAGGTCACCCAAACATAACAGTAGGGTTTTAATTAAAATATAGGGTAGATGCATAAACAGAAAGTGACTACGTTGGGATTGTAAAAATTACTTTTTTCCCCGAAACGACTAAGATGGGGTCTAAAATATAGCCACAGAATAGCCTATAATGGGGTAGTAACCCCCTTTGGACTCGCACAATAACCTTTTCTTTGTAATCACTATGATGTTTGTGAAAATTATCATTTCAAATAATCACTCAATAGAAACTGAAACTGAAGCAATAACAAATTTCTTCATTTAAAATACTATGCCATCACCTGATTCTTGACTTTAACAATATAGCAAATAAACTCTAGTATGTCTAATGTACAAATATGGCATTAACAGTATAAAAATCAATGAATATGACAAAAATAGCAAGTTTTTTTCTCTTGGTTATATATATTTTGATATAGATGTCATACGTGAATTTGAAATTCAGGTTAAAAATGGTTTCAGCCTAGATTGAATCTTATACTTCCTTTGTCTCCTAGCCCTAATTATTCATGATTAACCCTTTAAGCCCCAACATCCACATACAAATTCTCCAAACTGATCTCCATAGATTTCCTTAAGGAATTAGTTGAGAGAATTTGATAAAAGATCATGAAATTTTCTCCATGATGATCATTTTATTAATTCTCATAACTTTATCTCTTGACAGTGAATGGATATTGTTAGGAGAAAATTGTTGTTGGTCACTATTGGGACTTAAAGGGTTAAGGATAAATAAATTATATTATTAGAGCTAGAAAACAGGGAAAATTGAGAACCAACCTAAGATGAAATCGTTTTGATCTGAATTCACTTTGACCTACTACATAGACATAAAACACATTCTTGACCCACTTTACAGTGCGACCAGGAAAGCTATGGACACTTGAAATATCCCACGAATATTATTGTCTTGCAAGAGAAAAGCCAATCTGGCGTAAGAAAACTAAACCACAAGTGTTCATGGTTTTCCCAGTGGCACTATAAATAGTACATTACTTTCATACAAGCTCAATAAACTCCATTGTGTTTCTTAACTTCCCAGATTTGTCCCTTAGTTGCAAATATTGTATAGTCATGAGCCTCAAAATCATTTCTTTAATGGCCAAACAAAATCTACATTAAAATTGTTGAGCTTAATTTAAAGAAAATCCTTAACTTTGAACTTGGATATACATGTAAAGCTGAAGCCATTCTAAAATGAATTCAATCTGGTCAAATTATTATTTTCTTGCTTTAATTAAGGTTATTACTTGCCTATGGTAAAATGGAAACTTAAGAGGCTAATTTAACAAAACATTAACAGTTTACCATCAGCCTAAAAACGTTGCTATGATAACACCCTAGTGGTTCAAGTTGGGCTTGAGATCTTTTTAGTCATTGCAGACTTGTTCAGATCTCTCTTTCAGCAGCCTTGGAAATAATTTGTTCAGTTTTAATCTTTTGAAGCTTTAGGTCCAACCAACTGACTCCCTTGAATGTGCCAACCACAGGTGGCCCAAACTCATGTTACAAGGAAAGCCAAAGGTAACATGGGACATTATCTTTCAATGAGTTGGTTTTGCAGTACAGTCACTGTGGTATTAACAAACTAACCCTTATTTACCACTCGCAGATTTCAGTATTTCAATTGTCAAACTAGACATCTCTTTTAATTCAATATTATTGAGTAAACACTAAAACGTCACATTCTGTGTCACCTACAGCTTTCCTGGTAATGGAGTTTGGACCGCACGTGATGTTTACATCTACAACTCTATGATGTTGACAATAAAGTGAATAACAACTAATTATCAAGTGTTAAATAAAGTGTAACAAAAAATGTTGTTCCATATAAATAGTGGGAAAATAGGTGCTTACAGCATCAAAGGCTTATCTTGGCAATGTTGTCTTTTCATTGGCAGTGTCCATTGAATGTGGTATGGCATCAGAGGATTCATAATTATAGTAAACAGAGAGGCAAAATATCTACTCACTGATCCAGTCCTCTGCGAAGTAAAAATAAATAATGATAATCTAAAGCAAATGTCAAAGTATCTTCACAGTTAGAGCGGTTTTCACTTGACTGTCGAATTGGGATTGGTTTTGGTTTTGGTTTTGGTTTTACTACGTCCTTTGGTTGGCTAGTGTATTTACTTTGGTTTTGGTTTTACGACAGTCAAGTGAAAACCGCTCTATAACATGACATAACAGGCCTTTCCTCAAAATGTCATAGTATTCTCTAAGTGTGGATCCTGGCCTTATATTCAGGAAACAAGCTCCACACAAGCTGCACATACCTATCAAAAGTTTTTGGTCCATTTGTTTGACAGTACAAGCTAATAAATTGGCCACTGTATCTGACAGAGGGAGAATGGGTTGCAAGAAATTTTCAAACCAAATTTTCAATAACAAAATGTTTTGTTCCAGAAAACTTCTACACCCAGCCCATGGAGAGTAACTGGAAATCCCTATGGGGAGGGGGGCAGGGGGGGGAGGGGTTCAAAGTGAAATTTTTATAGCAAAGTTTGAAGCTACGCTGGAATTTTGAGAGGGGTGGAAGGGTTCAAACCAAATCAGGGTGTTCATTAGGCATCGGAGATTGGTGAATTTTCCATTTACTATGAAAAATTCTCCGGCTGACGTCTGGTAGCTTGTGACTATTTTTACTCAGATGAGGAACCTCTTTCAAAATATTCTCCTGTAACGTTACACCTTTCTCCTGCTACTAGAATTCTTAATGAAAACCCTGCCAAATATATGCTGTACCCATAGTGTAGAGTATGGTTATTTTTAGAAACAACACAATATTATCAATTTCATTTTATTGTAAACAATTGGATAGTTGTAACTTTTGAGTCTGTGCATGAAATCATACTATGTGACCATTCCGATGAAATGTCTTTCTTACTGCTTTTACAGGATGCTACACTTTCTGCTTCTCAGCATTTTTACAAAATGAAATTTGGAAATTTTGTCAGATTTTGACTTTTCTCACTTTTGGGAGTCATGAAAGGGTTAAGGTAAAAGTTGTTTTTTTTACCGGTTTAAACACCTTTGTTTTGTGCTTTGCACTGCTGTTTATGACCAGCTTTCCAGTCACGCGCTTGACACTTCCGACCACAATAAAAAACACTTCTGCAACCACCACAACGCTTGAAGTCTCCAGGCTGACTCTCAAGGGTGCCACAAGCTTGACAGGGTTGGCATTCAAATCTGATGTTGTCCTTTCTTTCTATTTCTCCAAACATATTGATGACATTCTCCATCAGCATTGGCAACAAACGATGACATGTAATACAACAAAGCAAACAAAGCCTAGGGCACTTATCAGAGAACACTTCATCATTGATTGTACAGGTGGAGCCATGTGCAAACAGCTCTTCATTCATATCCACCATTTTATCAAAGAATTCTCCTTCCTGGTCCAGGCAATGCTCTTCCTTCAACACTAAATCTCCACTGACAAGGCAATTATAGAATGGAATGGGATTTTTTTTACTAGATAAAACGCCAACCAAGTGTTGCCAAAACTTGTGACCATCCTTGCAAGGACAGGACTCATCAGCACACTTTTCAGGTGGCTTCCTTTCTCTTTCATCTTCCTCTGGTAAACCTGTTGGTAATGCTGCATCAGATGAAAGATTTGAAGCATTTTTTTTGTAATCATCCCCCTCAGCATTTCCATTTTCAACCATGGTTGTTGCTGTTGACTCTTCTGTCTCGCTCTTGCTTTCCATTGGTCCTGCTTTACCTTCCATGCCACATCTGTTACCTATCACCTCCATCTGCTCAAATGTTTCACTGCAAGCTTGAACAAGACATTTTGCATCCACTGTCAACAGCTTCTTCCTTTTAGAGTCAGAAAAGAGCCTCCATTTATGCTTGAATTGCTGGGCCATAGATGGAGCCACAGTTTTTCTGAAAAGATCCATACTGGCATCTTCTTCAGTCAACTTTTCAGCTGGGTTTGTGGAAGCATCTTCTTTGACCAGTTTTTTGAACTCTGCCACAACCTTCTTCATCTTTGAGCGGAACAAGTCACACAACTTCTTGACATCTCTTTCACCAAGCTTCCTGCTACAATGATTAGAAAGAGCCTCACTTAACACAACACTACAGGAATTTACCCATTCAGGCACATCTAGCTTCTCCTTAGTTTTCAGCAACTGTATGAACCTTGGCACTGCTTCTTTCTCAGTAGCTACTGTCATAGGATTTGTAGGCTTGATTCTCCAAAACAGAACCTGGAAGGAATGCTCGAGGAAGGTGTGGAGGGCTTCTTTCAGGCAGTGTATGGCAGAAAAAGTGAAATCTTTATTTATTCCAAACTTAGACACAGCAAAGAGCAATTTTGCCACATTCTCACGCATAGATTTGCAGCCAAACTCACCATTTGCATCTTTGTCGACACAAGTCATGACGTTGAGACCTTGGCGTTTCTTTGTTGGGGATACAGGACTCAAACAGGTGTCACATTGGCCTTTAGGGGTCAATCTGGCATCAATAATGCTCTGACCGAGACACATTCCTCGACTTGAGAGATTTGCCAGGGTTGCACCAAGAATATGATCAATGACAACATTGTTCACATCAAGGAGAGCTGCTGTTTTCTTGTCTTTCTCTAGCCCTTCCCAGGCACCTACCATAACCTTAGCTCTTTCAGTATCACCCATCCATATGTACCACAAAGCTTGCTGCCTGGCCATGCCTCCAAATCTTTCATAGTTAAGTGCAGAAGTGAACTTTTGCACCACAGTTTTCTTCCAAGACTCTGAATCGTCATAGTTGCGGCTCCACTGGGTGGCCTGTTGCAAGAACCCTGACATGAATTCCTCTGCACTTGTCATGGAACTTAGGCTGGACAGGTTAAGAGTAGGGGGCTGGGATGGTAAAGGACAGTCATGGTACAATAACTCAGACTTTTCTAGCCACCATGATTCTAATTCAGCTCTGTAGTTACTGAAGTTCTTATTATCGACATTTCGTGGGCTTTTTCCAAGTTTGGCATCAAAATACTCCTCTACACTCTTATAGGGACAGTATTTGGCAACCTCCTTGAAGTACTCAAAAGCACATGCAGTGCTCTTGTCAGGAAAATCCAAGCCCACTGAGAGCGCTTTTTGGTGCAACGGCACTACGAACAAAGCGGAAACCTCTTCGACGGGACAGTACACCATTCTGATGGTTCGCCCTTGTGAAAGATCAACGTGCGTCTGCATTAACCGAACAGCTTCGCCTTCCTTTAGATTTGCATTGCAGAAACCATCTCTTATCTCGCCGCCGACATAACCCAGAATGTTGGCATAATCGAAGATAGGTTTTGGTCTCTTTCCCTGCCTCCTCATCACGGAGTAAATCGACATATTCCCTCTACCGTCCACATTCGAAACACATGCTACGCCATATTTGAACCTGTATAAAAGTTCCTTGGTAAAGTTTGCAGACGAGTAACAGCCCAATTCATAACCATCAGGCAAGGACGCCATTTTGCAACTGTCACTTGGAAATTTGAGAAACTGTCATACACCACGTGGGTAGCGTTTCCCGCCAAATTTTACTAACAGGGTGGGGACTAGTAGAGAGCGTCAGAAATTAAGGCTCCTTGAAATTCGTTAAGTTACTGCACGAGGCAAAAGCTACCATAGTTTTGAAATGCACAGAAGTATTTATAAATGTCTTGAATTATTTGCTCTAACTTTCTGCGAATTGATTCTGGCAAAATACGACAACTTTTTCCTCTCTCTAGACCCCGATGAGTACATAAATGTCACTGGCCCATCGTGCTCTTCGCGCAAGGAAATTTAATTTTTTAGCGCGAAAGCACTGGTGGCGAACTTTCGAGGACGTTGAGAAAACGTGAAAATGGCTCCTGGTTTAAAATTTTCCCCGAGAACTTTGTCAAAATACAAGCACGGCGTAGCGTATGTATCAAATGTAGATGGAAGAGGCATTTTCTCTGTTTATGGAATTTTCAAGAGAGGGCAAAAACCTTCATACGACCTCGTGAATATTTTGTGCTACGTTGCGGGTGAAATTCGTGATGGCTTCCTCGTGGAAAGACTAACAGAAAACGAGTTAGTTCCAATACTTGAGAGTACTTTTCGTTTGGCCGTGGGAAAAGCAGTTTTTCAACCAGTTGCCACTGAGGAAGCAGCAAAACTTTTGGTTATTCCTTGCTACGAGAAGGCAAAAGCAGGAGGGGTTGAACTCTTCTCAAATTGCGAAGACGAAGTACAGCGAAGTTTTGAATTCTACGAGCGTGTTTCGCGTTTTTGTCCCTACAGCAGCGAAGAAGAGTTTGTAATGGCTAAAGGAGGAAGCGAAGTGAAGAAAACATTTTCTCATTTAGACCTTTGCCGCCGCGAGTTTGATGCTTGGTGGCTGGAGAAGTCAGAACTCGAGCATCTTGGATGTCCCCTCCCCGTTCCACCTGTAAACTACCCAGAATCTGGACAACTTCTTAGTGGTGGCGGTATGATTGACTTTATGAGCGAGGTGAACAATCAGAGGAGCAAGATCTCAGCCTGGAAGAAGAGAACACTAGAAAAGTTCAGCATTCCTGTGAACTTTGAAAGACTTGTTGGTATATCTAGACATCAAGCACTGTGGTATACTTGGAAAGGAGATCTGAAAATGGGTGTCACTATGCTTGAATCAGCCAAAAAGATTCGCGATGACCAGAGCTCGGAGCGAACAATAAATGCAAGGATTCCTGTTGTGGAACTGTTCCTTAACCTAACACAAATCAAACTGGCGAGAATGGGAGAGTGCGAAGGGCAGTTCAACAAGGTTGATTGGCAGGTGTCAAAAGGTCCTCAGTGCAAAATCTGTCATGCTCCAGCAAAGAAAGAAACAAGTGATGCTTCTCCAGGAACATGGATTTTAACTTGTGTAGAGAAGGATGGAAAAGGGAAAATTGGAACTGATGCTACAAGGAAAACTCTTGTTACAGCACTCGCAATTGTTAAGCAGATTAAAGATCTGAGCAAGTTTCAGACTGCTGTTGAGTATAGCTTAAAAGACAGCCTTGAAATCTTCCTAGAACACTCTTTTGTGAATCTTTACTGGAAGAAGAAACCAACTCCTCCAATGACAGAAGCTCTTGTTGATGAAGCAGTAGTTTTGTTTGTCAAAGCTATTGACAGTGAGAATTTTGATCCATATAGATGGGGAGAATCCTGCAGAATGATCTTGCAAGAGTTGATGTCGAAGCATTGCAATGAGAAACTTTCAGAGGGAACTATCAGTGACGTTGGACAACTTTTCAAGAGGGCTTTTGAATCTCAGATAATCCAAAATATTTATAAGATTCAAGAAGTGCCTCAGTATGCCAGTCTTCATGACGACACAACCTCCTTACACCAGTTGAGCTCAGTTATGACTGCAATGTCTGTGGCTCCTTCCATTGCCAACCAGTTCCTTTTTAAGTGGCAGGGCAAGACAGATAAAGAGAAGAAGAAAGCTCTCTCTGCAAGTTTTAATGATTTACTTGCTGCAACAAAGAAAGTGTACGGGAGTTATCTAAGAAACGACCTTCCTCCTTGTCAAAACAGTGATTCCTCTCAATCTGTTTGCAACAAAAAAGAATGCGCTTGTCAAGACCTTGCAAAATTTCAAGATTATGTTGTTGATTTGTTATCCAGTGGAAGAAACCCTGTCTCATTCCTCAGCTGCTCATCAGAAGGAAATGTAACATTAACAGCGGCTCTGTTCATGGATAACTCTGGTGAACTGATAAGTGACATGATCTTGTGTCATGACATGTACATTTATGAAGAGATTATGGATGTTGACAACCATGAGGAGTTTGCAAAATGCCCCCATCTAGCACAATTGTGCAAATTTGCTTGTGGTGAGATTTATACCATGTTAAAGGTGAGGATGGTTGCTGACTTCAAGGAAACCATATGGAGGAAGAATGCCTCCCTAGAAATGCGTCACTGCTTCTGCTGTGGGCAGATGGCTAGCGAAGATGTCAACCTGTTGAAGTGTGGTGGATGTAAAGCTGTTGTCTATTGTACGCTGGAGTGTCAGAAGAAGGACTGGAAGGCTGGTCACAAGCAAAAATGTCACACTCTCAGAAAGCCTTGATTTTGCCATGAGGTATGTATATGCACTGTGGAATCCCTATTTTTCACACATTTTGGTGATTAAAAAATTGCTTCCTAAAGATGGGTGTAAAATGACAGTGTCTTAGAGAAGGCACTCATCTTTGGTCTGAATTATCAGGAGGTTGAGAAGTTTAGTGTTAGAGAAATTAGGATTCTACTGTAGGTATTTAAACACTCATTGGTTGAGTCTTTCCAATCACTTTGGTAAGAGTATTGTTAAGTAGGTGGAGCATGATCATCTGGGTGATGTAGTCCTGAATAGAACTGTTGTTGACAGTGACTACCGTAACATTTTGCCAACCTGTGTGGTAGTCATCTTCAGAGTCAAAGTGAGTTGTATCATATCAGTTGATGGTATTTAACTCTGGTCATTGACCTGATTGGTCAATTAAGTCGCAATGTTATGACCAATCAGGTCAATGGCCAGACTTTAATACCATTCACTCTGACTCTGAAGATGACTACTGCACAGTCACTCATGTCAACAACAGTCCTATTCAGGACTACAATCACCTGGACGATCATGCTCCACCTACTTATGAAATGACTCCTGGGTTAAAACCTTTCACAAGAGTCTCCTTGTTAAATATTTTTAATAATATTGTTAATACCAGGCTTCACAGTTGGAGTTACACTTGTCGTTTTTTCTGCAGGATTAGGCCTTTTACCTCATTAACCCTTTAAACCCTAAGATTAAAATTTGAATTCTCATTTGTTGCCCCTATTCATTTCCTACAGAAGTAGTGGGGAGAAGTTGATAAAATATCAAGCACATTCATCTTGTGTGATCATGTATGTGATTCTCATGACCACTCGGTTTTACAAAGCATTAATATTACAAGGAGAAATTTGATGCTGATCACTCTTAGGGCTTCAAGGGTTAAGAATAAAATATTGTATGTTTGGCTGCTTTTCTCTAAGATAAGTTTTTCTGTGGGGTAAAAATAGGGAGAAAAAATTCAAAAGAAGCAACCTTGACAGCTACCATGGTATTTATACAGAAATAAACACCTTGTTTAAGGAGTAAACTTACTTATCAGAAGAGTGTAGTGTTGGAAATCAGTCGAGATTTCATATAATCGGATTGACCAAACCAATCAATCATTGATTATAATCAGAAAAATCTGTTTATGAGAATTCAAATTATCATGATATCTTGGAAAAAAATTCCTAATTTTAAACTTAGTTTCTTGTTTCAAATAAAGCTCAACGGCCATTTCATTTGCCTGCGTGCAGACGTCTCCTATTTCCTTTGTTGCACGCGGAAAAGGGACATCTGCGTAACGCCGTCGCTAATCGTGTTCCAGCGTCCCGCTGGCAGGGAATTCTATTTCGCATAAATTGTGAAATAATATCCGGTTAGTAATAAGAGTTGACAGGCCAAACACAACATCATAAGCTCGTGAAGAGTCTGCTTGAACAGAGGTTTTTCTTCTTTTCTCTCTCGCACTACACAGTGCATGTAGCAGTCTAAATTTTGACTGAGTAAATCTCGTTTTTGCCGCACTAAGTCTTACATTTAGAGGTCATGAAGCAGGCTTGTTACATGCACACTGAGTAATCATTTCCTGTGGTTTATGCTTCTGTGGGTGTTCCTGATAGGATTTGATTTCAGACGCAGTTCTAAAGTGTTTAAATTTTCTTTGACCTCTGTTTGTTACGGCTAAATAAAGATTTTAGTTTTTTTGGCTGGCTTTCTCCGAAATGCCTGCCTGGTGTGAAGTCCACGCCGCTTTTGTACGGTCTGCACAGAATGGCACATGTTTTTATTTGTTTTGACTGGAAAACCCCGATTACATAAATCACCGCATACATTATCAGACCAGATTCAATAACAACGAATCAGCGTTAAGTCGAACAATGCGCACTGTGTGTCAGCCTATCACAGAATGTTCCCAAGATCTTGGGAACCCAGCGGGACGCTGGAACACGATTAGCGACAGCGTTATGCAGACGTCCCTTTTCCGCGTGCAACAAAGGAAATAGGAGACGTCTGCACGCAGGCAACCATTTCATAGTCTGTAAACACAGAAGTATTTCCAGTCGTTGCTTCGATCTCTCCACCCAAAAAGGTTACTTTTTTGGTGGAGAGAAGCAATGACCAAAAGAATGTCTGCATTCAAAATGGTAACCATTTCAGGGCTTGAAAACAGTCCTGTCTGGTCACCTAGGACAAGTAGATTTTCTTGCTAGGTAAGAAGCTTCTTAAGGTCACTTGCCTGATAGACAAGGGTCCAGAGCAAGTCATCTTGTATTATGTAACTTAATCATTAACTAAGGCAACCAACTAATGGCCTTGGCAAGCAAAATGTGAAAGCTGCTTGTCCAAAGGGCAAGCTGAATTTTTACTTGCTTTTTAGCCCTGCTATTTTCAGAAACTATTGCTTTCTTAGCATTTTTCAATTTGAAAATATAATAATTGAAAGTTGAATTTCTTATATTGTAATAATTTGGCAAGATGAACCATAATTGATAAAATTATCTTGTTCATCACTGTGATAATAGAAGTTGTTATTTTTGTAGCTTACGACATTACAAGTGCATCAGTGGTAAAGTGTGGCTGATGCATTCTACAATTAGAAAGTGATAATGGTGACCCTACCTGAAACATTTGCGTATACATCCAGCAAATATAGCCTATCCCTGGCTTGAGTTATAATGCCAAAGCATTATAGAGCCAAAATATGGTTTAATATAGCAGGTGTACTCCTCTGTTCGTTATGTAAAATTTTCATAAAAGAACAGTGGCTGATGCTCGAATGCAAAAGCAAGTCGTTACCTTAAAGAAAGGAAGGTATTATTTATCAACAAGATTGAAGTAAGACTTACTAATAACCAACAACATTCTTAAGGAAAGTTACCAAGCATTTTGTCAAGTTTCAATGCCACTTATAGCCATTTGCAAAAGCAAATTTATGAAAGTTTGTACTACTTGACCTTCCTTAAAAATATCTTGTTTTGAGAGGAATAGGAATGTAAACAGATTTTTTTGCTGATCACTGGTGATATTGAATATGCAAAAGCTTTGTTGCAGTTATAAATTCATCTAAATGAAAAGAAGATCATCACAGGAGAGATGGAACCGCATGAGTTGAATCTTTAACTGCATTGTTATTCTTTGCACTTGTTTCTTTACTCTGGGGTTTAAATACATGACGTTCATATAATTATTCATAATCATCATTTTATAAATCCAGCAGTGGTGCTAACTATATTGACAAAAAATTGACTAGACAAATGATAATGTGTGGTTCCAGAAAATATCCATACCCCCCCCCCACCCCACGGGAAGGATCGGATTTTCCCGGGGGGAGGGGGGTCAATTTGCCTAATTTTCCAGGGGGGAGGGGGGGTGACCATAGGGAAATATTTCCAGAGGGTTCTTGTGGCGCATAAGATAGTAACAAAGAAAAAACACAAAAATTTACCATGAGAATTTATTTGCAAAGATATAAAATATGAGCGATTAATGACCTGCTTGAAACTTGTTTAAAAACATCAATTTTATGTTCAGTCAAAAGAATGTATATGTAAAGGCCATTAATAAATAACTGGTCAAGAACTAAAACGATTTAATACACATCATAAATTCAAATTAAATTTTGCAAGCTCCCTAGATTATCTCAAGTAAAGAAGTGTTTTCGTTGTTTGTAGGTGAACAATTGTTACAAAACAACTTGCAGCCAGTGTAAAGGTGGATTGTTCAATGTTGTTGTTGACCTCGGAGCTTTCTCACAAAATGTACCAGGATTTTTAATTTCAAGCAAGATATACAAAGATTTATGTCCTTTTCACAGTCTCAGTTAATTACAGCATTCAAATTAGAACATGGTTTACTTTTCCTTCGGAGGAGGTAGCATTGTCTCCAAAACGTTTGTTACTTTGTTTTCTTGGAAACGTTTTTTCCTGTAAATCCAAGTTTTCACTTGTGTATTTGAGGTGAAATTAAAACATTTCTTTCTTATCTGTGAATTTTGCAGCAGTTCACCCTTTTTCATTTTTTTTAATACATTTATTACCACTGGTCATTCTTTCTATACTGAAATTACATAAGGCTTTTGGACACTGTACCCTGGACACAAATAATGAATTAGCCAGACTAAAAAAACTTAATGCATTTATGTCAAATAGATCTTTAGTACATCTGAACATCTATTGTCATTTTTTAATTACATTTTTCCAAAAAAAAATCTTCATTGCCTTTAGTTCAACGTGTTTGTTTTATTTGCCTTTTTTTCTGTTGGTCAATAAATTACGTCACACAATTCTGTTGGTGTATTTCCCTTCAGAATCTCTTAACTATCCTTTATAATAGACAAAACTAATATGCTGACCTATTCGCCTTAAGAGTCATTCTTGCTTAATATTAGTTTCTTTCTCGTTAAATATACTGCTTGAAGCCTAATTCTGTTAGTTACCCTGGGATAATGCTCCTGATTCTATTACTATTGCTTCATGAACTGAGAGAAACTGATCGACATGCAATATCTCCACACCGTCATCAAGACATTTCTTATGGTATTATTTGGGAGAATTTATTGTTATTGGCAATTCTCCTCCCTCTGGTATTCTTTCAACTTCTTAACCTTGTAACGCCAAAGAAGTAAAAGTGCGCATGTACCGGAATTTATGATAAAGTTAGGGCTGATGGGGCCATTCAGATTCGCTTGATCATAAAATTTTGTTTCTCCGCAGTGAAGGGGATTATTTTATTCGTCGTAGTTGTCTCACATGCATGCTTTTGTTGATTAAGTAGTCACCATCTGTTTATCTTTGGCGGATTTTAATGTTTCTTTTTATCTTGTTATTCGCATTATTTTGTCGTATTTCGAGTTTCCGTTATGTCTGTGAAATAAGCTACAAAGTTTAACTCTTCGACACACGTATTGGCATCGAGGTCAGTTAAATTCAGAAAGCTTGTTACGCAGTCTCCTTGAATCATATTAGTACACACCTATATTTATTGTTATTGTTTGCTATTTGTCGGGAAAATTTTAATGGCGCAAGATAACCATGAAGTACCGCCTCTCAAAACTGATAAAACAGGCTTCGGTTAGTGTCAGTTCTTTGTTAACTCTGGTGTTCAACCGCCCTTATTAGTTCTTATCTCAATCTCTACTGATCCGCGCAAAAGATGAGTTGCTTTCTCTTCTGTGACCTTGACTGATTAGGAGTACAATCCTGTTGAAGGAACTTCAGTACCGCTTCCTAACTCCACACTGCATTGAGCCGGCACCTATAATCGGCACATTAATTAGTGGAGAAACTTTGCCCTAACCAGCCTCTCCGAGGTTTTGCCAACTTAAACAGGGAAAAATAAAGCATTTTTTCCCTCAAACCCATCCATGCAACATTGTACCGCAGTTCGAGCTGTCTGTAGAAAACAAGACAAACGCCCCAACTTTGAATGGAGGGAAGGAGTGTGGATTATTTTGTTCTCCGAAGTTACCCCTTTTGAGGACAACACTTGAGTCGCCGATTGTAGATTGTGAGTAGACAGATCATGAGCAGATTAAATCGCTAGTTTAATTCTCTGTATTGACTCGGCTCTCACATGCTCATTTAACTTCTTATCTATGTCGCTTTTAATCTCACAAATGCGACTTGCAATTGTTTTCTTTCCTGACCTTGACTAATAAGAGGAACAACCCCAACTGAGACCTCACCGTACCACCTGGTGCGGTATTTTTTATTTTTAAATCTTTTTACAGACTTTTGCATTATCTGCAAGCTTCCCTTGTGCAGTTGGCGCGAATGCCAGAGTCATTTCTGAAAACACGTAGTTCTTACTTTCGAGTTAGACTACGCACTGTTGACGAACTGAAGACTCGATGTTCGTCGATTTTGTCACATGGCCTTCCTTGTTTTTTGGCACTTCACAAAATACCTTATTGGAATTTTTATTGTGACACACTTGCCAGTAAAGTAATGAAGTGTTGTTTTCCAAAGTTCCCATTGCTAATTCCAAGTACCAAACAGCCATTTTCGGAAAAATGTAAACTTTTTACAGGAAAGACACAACAGTAGTTTCCTTAGTTTGCGGAAAAAGAGCCCGTCTAGGATGGACGAGGATTAAGATTAAGAAATAAAACGCGCTTCTGCTGATAAAACGTCTCAGCCGTTATTTTGTCTCAGTAGATGTACATTTCTTTCCTCTCATCAATTTTGGCGGTCAGTTTTATCTTGGTTTTAAAATGATAACACATTTTCTGGCAAAACTCACAAAGACAAGGGTCTCAATAGAAACCGCCTGCCTTAAAGGGGTTATGGCACGTTAAGGTCAAAATTTGAATTCTCATTTGTTGCCCCTATTCATTTCCCACAGAAGTAGTGGGGAGAAGTTGATAAAATATCAAGCACATTCATCTTGTGTGATCATGTACGTGATTCTCATGACCACTCGGTTTTACAAAGCATTGATATTACAAGGAGAAATTTGATGCTGATCACTCTTAGGGCTTAAAGGGTCAAACAGCTGAAACGTGTCTTCGCACCAGTTGATTTCAAAAAATATCCAGGGGCACCCAACGTCAATTTTCGGAAAATATCTGTTCGGAACACGATTTGAGAGCTAGAATTTTCGGAACATTTGTTGTAAAATTTCTTGCTTGCCTGCCTCTCCTAGGATTTTCGAGCATCTAAAAACTACTGTAATAGCCCATTTTTAACGGATTTTTACCCTAAAAAGGTCACCAAGAATTTCTGGCTGAAAAATTCGAAAAGGTAAGTTTTGATCCCTATAATTTTCGCATCACTAGACTTTCAGCTAGGAAATCCGAACGGGACAGGCGTGGTCTTCTTCTTCCGTCTTCTTCTGGTTTTGCTTGCAAAAATGACAAAAAAATATTATGTTTTGTTCCCGGGGGGTGGGGGGGTAACTTGGGTTAATTTTGCTGGGTATGTGCCGCTGGCCGTTCAGAGCCCCTACCCGATTATAGTCTATTCTGTGGCCAATTATAGACCCCATATTAGTCACTCTTGGGAAAATATGTAATTTTTGCGATCCCAACTTAGTCACTTTCTCTTTATGTATCTACCTTATATCAAATGAAGAACACTCTACTTTTCACCAACAGTACAAACATTCTGGCACGTTTGCTAACTGCTAATAAGAAGAACTGTCTTACCCCCAAAATCAGAAAATGTGCGACCCCATTCTAGTAACTCTATTGAAAATGCGACCCCATTATAGTCACTCCAGTCATGAAAATGCGACCCCATCCAGTGGCACATCCCCATTAGCCTCTTATAAGGAAGGACCCCCCCCCCCCCAAGGGCCCCCCCCCCCCCCGGAGTTAGTTTTGTTTGTCTTCTCAGTCTGTTTTGTGTGTGAGTAAAGATACTAAGTAATGACTTCAGCACAGAATTGACCTCAAACAGCAATATCCTTCTGACATAGGCCTTTTAAGAAGAGCTCATCATTTCGAAAAAAACATGGAGGTTAACGACGTAAGTTGCTGATACTTGTAGCTGTTGAATCTTGTCTTGAATTGCTATTGCCTCAGGGAACGTATGGTTTCCATACTACACGCGGTCACAAGCCATCATCGCGCAGTGACACTTATTAATCATCTCGGCTTGTTTGACCCTTAAATCATAATTAGGATGTGTTTTCATAACTGAATGTCTTGTTTTCAAAAACATTAATTTACAAGAGGACTATTAACAAAGCAAACAATCCACCTTTCAGCGGGAAAACTTGACGGTGTAGTGAATTCTCTTGCGGAAATTGGTCGTTTGGAATAGATTCAAGAGGATTGCGAATCGGATGAACTCCTGTAAATGAAGCCGTAGATTGCATTCCGAAGCCCTTTGAGTAGTTAGATGGGGTTGAACCTTTCTTCCGTGGTTAAACATCCCGTAGTGTGACCATTAAGAGCGTCTCTGCCGCGTCTCTCCAGCTTTCCCGAAAATTAGTTAAAGTTAAGCAGGAAAGGTGTTTTTCGCTTCTCTTGCTCATTGAAAGTTAAGCCGTCCGATGAAGTTTATGATTAGCTAATGACGGAAGGCTTGAGCTAAGCGCAGCAATCAAATTCTTATCTGCGCGTCTTGCCATCCAGCCAACTCTCAAAGCCGCAGATATCAAATTAATGACAAATCTTTTTCTCAAGCTGCTGTGAAACAGTGCGATATATGCCTCCAACTGATGAATAATGGCCGGCTCCATATACCCCAGCGTACACTGATTTATCCAGGGGTCTTATTTTGATCATTATAATCCGTACAGATACCTTGCCTACTTCCGTAGGACACTCGGTTTAAACTAATTTTGCTCCAGTCTCGTTCAAAATGGTTCAAGTTTATATTGGATTACATTTTGCTGTCTTCCTTGCCGGCGGCTAATTCCGCACGTACACGGAACTTAGTTTTATAAACACGAATGCCTAATGCCGTTGTTTTCTTCTCAAAGTGTTGATTTTGAACCACAGGTGAAGGGAAAATAATCCTATTCCTATCTCTCTAAGGAATACTTTGACCATATCTAGTTATTACTTACCAAAACAAAACTGGTCACTAGTATTGCGTGCCGTTACTAAAGAGATATATGCATAGTGCAGATTGTTTCCTCTTGAGTCACTCAATTAGCCAGACTTACTCGCCCCAATGTGATCCTTGCGGTTGGAGGAATATTTTTTTCATATTGGGAAATTAGCTAGATTCTTGATTCCTTCACGTTCAAGACCAAGAATAGAACTCTTTAAAACATCCGATTGTAAAAAATGCGCGTAGATTCAGTTGCGGGTCGGGCCGGACGGATCTGACATAATAGTACTATAGCATACTGACGTCCGATGATTTTCTATTGCCTTAATTAGTTTACGATGAAACGAAATAATGAAATATTAAGTAAACAAATAAATAATATCAAAAACAAAATACTCGAACCGGCTTAGCATTTTTGATGGAGTTAGTGTATAGTCATGAGTACATCCTACGTTGAACTTTAATTTCGTCAAACTAAATCATCTGACTCTGG